AGGAGCCCCAGACAAGCTCAAGCCTAGAAGTCAGGGTCAGTGAGCGATGAGGGAAATGGCTGAAAGGAGGCCGAGAGCTGCCTTTGTTCCCAGTAGTGCCAGGTTGGTTGTTCACTAGGCTTTGTGGGCTCTTGCCTTCCAGTTCTTAAGTTCTCTGCCAGTTTGGGCCTTTTACACACGACGATGAGTCACACCTGTCTGACAACAGACTTTCAGCTGCTGGCGTCTCTAGAACGTAGATTCCCAAGGAACCTGTAGGAGGTGAGTGCCCACAATCCATTGAAAGCCAGTGAGCTCAGGTACCAATTCCCTTAGGCCCATTTCACACACAGCTGGGGAGCACAGTATCCCTGTGGGGGTTACCCCTTTTTAAATGGAGGCCTGGCTCAGTGAGCGATTCAGAGAAAGAAACCAGTTTCTGCTAGAAGTTCGGTCCCTTGGGCCCCTTTGCACAGACCTGAGCACTTCCTGCTCCTGCCACCTCGGTCACAGAAAGCCTGTGATGAAAACAATTTCCACTGGCCGCAAGCAGCTACTGATGTGGCAGTCTGAGGGTAGCAATATGTTTCTGGGTAGCGGGGTCTGGATGAGACGACCTCACGTCCCTGGGGTCTGTGCTCCAAAGAGGGAAGGCCCTTGATGAGCTAGGGCTCCTGGTTATTTCTTTACAGCATCGCAGCCCTGTAGAATAAGGGGGAGGGGGCCGGTGCTGGAATGCACGTCTAACCGAGGCAAGGGGGAGCACAGTGCAAAGGCAATGCGGGTGCGGGGGAAGCCCTGTCCTGGCCCTGACTGTTGAGTGCAAGATGTCCCAGGGGCCGCTGGGCCGCAGCCTCGTTCCCTCTCACTTCGTTACTCCCCACCCCCTCCTGTTGGAATGGCTGCGAAGGTGCCAAGACGCGGAGCGAGGCCGGGGTCGAAGGGCGCAGGCAAGCCCATTAATAACAAGGTGCAAACGGCTGGTTTCTATGGAACGCGAAGCTTTTCACTTATTTCATTTCTGCACTTCGGGGGCTCTGTGTGGTTGCTTACGGAGCTCTTGGTGTCTGGTACCTCTTTTGGCTGAGAGCAGGCCACTGGGTTCCTACAGGGCTTCGGAGGAATGCAGCACATTGTTCGCTGGTGCTGTAATTCTGCAGCGGTAGCTGGGGCTTATTTGTCTTCCAGTTGTTAAATACACCCCCCTCCCAGAGGTCCTCTTTCTTCCTGGGCAGCAATGGGTAACACCTCCAGGAATAGACTGGAGAGGGGTCAGCGGGCGGGGGCCTGCCTCTCTCTGGCTCCCAGGTCTCTACCAGCGGGCTGAAGAGGTTAACAAGTGAGCTCGGTTCCCCAGATGGAGGGGGATGCTCTTATCAGATTCTCACCCTCGTAAATGAATCGAGCCTCTCGTTTCTGGGCTGGGGGCGGGCAGCAGCACTCCCCAGTTGGCTAGTTTCTGGCCCTGGGGTACGGCGCCAAGTTGGACATCTCCCAGGCTGCGGGGGTCCGGGGGAGCAGAGGGCAAGGCACAGGGAGAAGCGGAGCCGAGGAGAGGTGCAGGGGGAAGTCCTGCCCCACAGCGGCTGAGCAGGTTCAGCTTTCCATGGAGGGGCACTTCAGAAGAACAGACTGGCATCTCCTTTGGGCCGCTGGCTTCCCCTGGGGTGCAGGGGAGAAACCCACTGCCTGTTCCCTCCACTCTGGGGTTGTACAGACAGCGGCAGCAGAGACCCACTCCCACCTTCAGTCCTCTGGCCCCACTCCGTCTGTCCTCCCGGCCCATCGCTCTGCTCCCTTGCCCCCGCTGGCTGCCCCACCAGGGCCCCAGGGGCGGGGCTGCC